TCAAACAATTTTGTAATGCATGAGCTTTTTTTATCCGGTGTGCCACAAATGCCAGCAATCTTTAAGTCAAACTTGTTTAGTGCAAATTAACAACTGACTCTATATTACCATCCATAATGCCTAATTGTCTCTCAGTTCAACTTCTTGTTCCTTTAACAATCTTCTTTGCTTCTGTTGGATGCTTGCAATCACTTTTGAAAGCCTGAGTAGTATCTCTGAATAAGGGGAAACTACCACTGTGCAAAGGAACTAACTAAAATAGACCAATATATCTTTCCACCTTCATGTCCAATGCTTTTCTAAATTCCACATAGCAGTGTTTTCGGAGTACATTTAAAGGCTGATTTGAGAGCCATGTTCTTTCACCCCCTTTTTAATTAAATTGGGCAAGAACTCAAGGCATCCCAACATCTAGAAGGTCACACAGAGCAGCACAGCACAGTAGCAGGGCTGGTCCAAAGCTTCTCAGTGGATAAGGAAAAAAAACTTTCTGTAATATGTCAGCAGCCCTAGATGAACCCCCAAGATACAAAATAGAAAAGGAATTGGGTGATACAGGAGGAAAGAGACATAAAACAGTGTGAATATCCCAGCAAGAAGATTGTGTCAGGCTGCTTATGCTCATACTAGGTAGCTCCTTACTATCTGTGGCACAGGCAGAAAGTGAGACAAGTAGTCTACCATTATATCCAGCCACTATTGAGACCCAATCAAATGATGAGTTTGACGTAAACTAAAAGGTCAAAAAGGGATACCTTTTGATGTGAATCCAGAGAAGGCACTGGGTCAATTCTTCTGGATTCACATCATCTAAACTGTTCTACAACCACATGGCTTCTAAGTTATGTAGTAGGTACTGCACAGTAAGATGAATATACTGGTTCAGATGGATGTGTTGTTATATCCAACATATACTGAAGACCCATTAAAGTCATGTGCCTCCATACACCTTACTGTTGACTAGCTGTGTGTCTAGCTGACCTGACAGCCCATGGAAACAGAAACAGAGCTGAGGTACCTGCATTAATACTCTAGCACAATCAAATACCAGGCAGAAATGAAGTGGAAACAGTCACTGATTATAGTCTCTATCTGTGTCTACTAACATTACCTCAGTTTGATACTGGACTAGTGAGCATTCTGCTGGGCTGTGCTTTTATTCTGAAGTCACCATGAAATGATTGCTTATGCCTATTTGGGACCTAGACCCAGGCCCTAAATATAGTATTCTAGTCTGTACTTTCTGTAGGAGTGTAAATAGCATTGTGTCCATTTCTAGGACCATTCATCACACTTACTTGACTGGGAACAGTCCACAAAGACAGCTAAAATGACCCTTTACAGAAATTTACATATGGAAAATTTCAAGAAGAACCTTGAAGAACAAGAAATGTGTCTCACAATCACCAGCTAAGTAGAAAAAGTTTGGCTTGAACAAAATTTGCTTTTTTACTTGAAATGAATACTTTATATTTTAAGAATTTTTAACGAAAGAACAGGAAAAATCATGTGAAGGAATAAATTCTTGGGACATTTTTATACCATTCTTCAAAAAGCTAAAGAAGGAGCTATTGCTAATTGTGCTGGCGTAGTTTCTACTAAGGTACATACAAGTCTGTGCCCCAGGACCCTGGATGTTAGGTTAGTCTTCTTTCAGACAGGATACCTCTGTTAAAGTCTTGCCTCTGAATGCAAGTCTCCGTTATAGGTAACTTACTCACTAGGCCATAGTGACTAAGCTCTTTTTCTGTTTTGTGAATTCCATTGTGTAACTTCTGAAGCATGTCCAGAACACATCAGAATTATTTGCTTTGAAAATAAGAAAACATAAACATTTTAATATCTTGCATTTCCCTCACCTTATCAGTTTAGCAACATACAAAACAAAAAAAGGTAAATATTGCATATCTTCAATTTAGACAGGCACAAAGTTCTATTTTGGCAATGAACCATTTATCAAAAAAAAACATAGTCAAGCCCTACAAACCAATTCACATTTCAGATGACTTATACTCAAAATAGATCCAAAGCCATAAACCAGCTGCAGTTTCCCAATAATGTCCATTTCTCCTAGCTAGAATAGTTCTTTAGGCATATTCTGAGGTGCTGGACTTCATAGACAACCTGACAATTTCAAGTTATGGACTGGAATGTCTCAACTTTCCACTTCTGAATCTCCTAGGTGGAGGAACTCCCTGAAAACTGCAGTCTCACCAAGCATTTACATTTTGTTTCCAAATTTTGCACCCTGAAACAGTTCAGAAAAAGATAAAAATTGGTTCTGAAACATTTTTGCTTTTGAAGCAAATAATTAGCCAAGAAGTAATCAACCTACAATTTGAATTTCAGGCTAACTTAACACCCTTCCCTCCAAATCCACATTAGCTTCAGAAAAATACTTCTAAACATCTTTCCATTAACAGGGTTCCTCCATGGACAAGAAAAATGGCTTATTTGAACTGATCTAATTCTGAGGTCCCTGGTCCTTCCTTTTTGTGCACACCATGACATTAAAGAGAGTCTGCAGGAGCTCCAGTCTTATTTTTCCAACCTCATCACCTGCTCCAACTTGTGTATTTTGCTAGTGCCACTTAGTTTTGAAACTAAGCAGACCAGTGATTACATGCAGCTGCATGTTGGCATGAATAATGCTTTCAGCTTTTCAGCTGAGCATTGTCAAAGCTTTGCTCACCATCCTATGGACCTGTGTGTCATACTTCATGTGGGTTAGCCCTTCTGAGTACTCTAAGGCAATCTGCTGAATGACAGCTGTTTTCTAATATTTTTACTGGTTTTAAAAACAAATAATTTATTGAGGGAAGACCAAACTGAACAAGGGTCTTTGTATGCAGCACAGTCTCGGTTCTGAGATCCATCTACGTTAAGTTCATATTTATTTAGGTATGACAGTAATTGTATGGTAACTGAAAATCTTAGATTATTTTGACTTTTTTTTCCCCAAAGCCTAACATTGCTGCAAGCAGCAGTCTAGATTTAGGTGAACTCATACTGTGACAAACTGAGAATGGAGAAAACACATTTCTTGTCCATAAAAGGACAGATCACACATCCACAGAGGATAGCTCTGATTTTGCTGCAGTTCCAAACTATGAAGTGGGGACTCTGTTGCTAAAAGGAGTTTTACTTAAGTGGATAGAAGATTGTCCAGTATTTTTTTCCTTTTTGTTTTGCCTTCTTAAGCAGAAAATGATGGGTTGTTTTTTTTTTTTTCCTAAAGTGGAAAATCTTCAATTCAAGAGGTCTGATATTTCCACAATTTCTTCTGAGAAAAACAGAGAATCCATAGTGCCACCAGTTGAGGGAGGGGATACTTCCCTCTGTGTCCAGCTCTGGGCTCTCCAGTGCAGGATAAACATGGACTTACAGGAGTGAGTCCATAAAGATGATTAAGCAACTAAGGCATCTGTCATGTGAGGAGAGCCTGAGAAGTCTGGGACTGTTCAGCCAGAAGAGAAGGCTCAGGGTGATGTTGTCAAAGTATAGAAATACCTAATAGAAGGGAATAAAAAAGATAGAGCCAGGATCTTCTCTAGGGTGTCCCGTGAAAGGATGACAAGAAATGGTGTGTTTTGAAAGGAAGTATTTCCCATGATTTAGTTTTTACATTGAAAATTGATTTAATGTAAACATAAATGCAAATAGAAAATATACAGTATCCACATGGAAAAATCCCACCTCCTTAGATGGATGCTCACAGTTCTCAACTTCACAAACAGGGAGGCAGAAAGATTTAACAAGAAATGACAAATGAGCTTCTAGAAGATGCTCAAAAGCTAGAATTACAAAGACACCACAGGAATCCGTAGAGAGTGGTGGATGCCAAAGTACAGGGCAACAGAGAAGAACCACACTTTTAGGTCCAGTTTTCAAAATCTTGATCTTGACTTCATTTTGACCTTTTTGCACAAGATTCTTCCACCTGGGGGAGAGAAGGGAGGGATGGAATGTGAGGGAGGGAAAAGGGGTAAACGGAGGGGAGGCAAAAAGAAGGGAAAGCAGGGGAGGGGAAAGGGGGAGTCCTCCACCCGTCCTTGAATATTTCTGAATACTGTCAGTTTTGTTCCAATTTATATAAATGTAATGAAGGAACTTGATTAAAAAACAGCAACAACATAAATAACAACAAAACAACAAAACAAAAACCAAAAAACAAACAAACAAAACCAAAAAGAAACACCAACCACCAACACAAGCAAAACAGAAACAGGCCCCAACCCTGCAAACAACTGGTGCAAAATGGCCTGTGGATGCATCTGAATTTCCCACTTGCATTATAGAGTCTTTCTGAAGTTCAAAATATAAGAAACCACACTTTGCTGCTTGACTGCATCCTTTTCCTTCAAGAATGTATTCTATTATAACACCAGAGAGAGAAACATAAAGAAAGAGCTATTGAAACATGATATATATTTCCAAGTCTATGATAATGCTCTTAGGGTAAAATCAAACACAAGCCGTTTGATGAATAGGTATTTGATGGAACCAGGAGATCTCAACACACAAAACTTGGCAACAGTTAACAAAGACAGAACTTTCTCATTTTACATCATTAGATAGTCTGCTACTCTGCATAATCTCTTAATTTTGAAACTAAACCACTCTGTAGAATAGACTTAGTGAGCATAACTCTGGCCTCTCTCTACTGCCAAGACCTGGATGCACTATCCAAAAAACTACCTACCTCTGCAGAGAAAGGACTTAACTGATGTATATGCCACTACGCATGGAAAAAGGAAAGGTCATCCTGAAAAGTTTATGCAATACAGATGAAATACTGGAAAAACAAAAAGAAAAGAAAAAAGACAGAAAAGGGTTACACTCATTATAAATATATAAATAGTACCTTCAAAGAAACACATAGCCTATGTACATCTATGAAGTGCAGATGTCATTAAAACAAATCCGAATTTTCATGTTTACAGCCTCTAATAAACTTTTCTATTTAATTGGTTTTATATTGACTTTCTGTTTCTCTGCAGATCTTACAGGTGAACAAGGTGATGTCCATCTTGTTTTATGTGATATTTCTTGCTTACCTTCGTGGCACCCATTCTACCAACATGGATCAAAGGAGTTTGCCAGAAGATTCAATAAATTCTCTTATTATTAAACTCATTCAGGCAGACATTTTGAAAAACAAGCTTTCTAAGCAGATGGTAGATATTAAGGAAAACTATCAAAACACACTGCAGAAAAAAGACCCTCAGCAAGACATAGATGGAGATGAAAATGTGAAATCAGACTTCCAGCCAGTTATCTCAATGGATACAGAACTCTTAAGGCAGCAGAAACGCTACAGCTCTCCCCGAGTCCTCTTGAGTGACAACACACCGCTGGAACCACCACCGCTGTACCTCATGGAGGATTATATTGGAAATTCTGTGGTGGTGAACAGAACCTCCCGGCGTAAAAGGTACGCGGAGCATAAAAGCCACCGAGGGGAATATTCTGTTTGTGACAGTGAAAGTCTATGGGTCACGGACAAATCATCTGCAATTGACATTAGAGGACACCAGGTAACTGTTCTGGGAGAAATTAAAACAGGCAACTCTCCAGTTAAGCAATACTTTTATGAAACAAGGTGTAAAGAAGCCAAGCCTGTAAAAAATGGCTGCCGCGGCATTGATGACAAGCACTGGAACTCCCAATGCAAGACATCCCAAACTTATGTTAGAGCACTGACTTCAGAAAACAATAAACTGGTAGGCTGGAGATGGATAAGAATAGACACCTCCTGTGTGTGCGCATTGTCAAGGAAAATAGGAAGAACATAGATCTGCATCTCTTTGCTATATAAATTATTACTTTAAATTATATGATATGCATGTAGCATATAAATGTTTATATTGTTTTATATATTATAAGTTGACCTTATTTATTAAACTTCAGCAAATCTACAGTATATAAGCTTTCTCTCTCATAAACAAGAGTAAAGGGTGTGTGCCTCTGCTGTGGGCAACTCTGGGTTTTTTAGACTATGTGACACTGCTTGTTGGCAGCATACCATAACTTTACTGTAAAATCTGTGTAAAATCAGTATTTTTCATTCAGTATTGTCAAGCCAGTGACTGTCATTTAGTAAACTTGTTAAAAACCAGATCAATGTCAAGAGTTGTGTACATACTTATATTCCCAGCTTTATACATTCATGTTGAATTGGATGCAGTGTTGACTCCTCACCACCAAACAGAAATGGACCAAAATACATGTTAGACAAAATACACTATAGACATCAAATATCCATAAAATACAATTCCTGTGTATTTTGCCTGTTTTGCCAGTGAAATGACTACTTTCCCTCTGTAAGCATTTCAGAAAGACTGTTAATAACCCAGCAACTTTCATTTATGTTTTAGAAGCACATTTGTTTTGCAACTGTTTCTAATGCTGCCAGTTCTTCATAGAAAAAATATGAAAAAATCTAAAATATTCTTAGCAGAAATTTACTGAAGCCAAGAACCAATCTGAATGGAACTTTAATGTAATACATAAAAAAATATTTCTTCAGAATTCACTATTTATTTTGATCAGTGTATCCCTCCTCAGTTATCTTCTGCTTGCATTATTGGATCATTCCTCTCTGTCTGTTTTTAAATTAGAAACAAAGCTGGTGGTGTCTTAACCTTAAAAGAGCCCTTGGCTTGGAAACTGTAGCAAAGAAAGAGATAGTATCCTGGCATGAATATCAAAGCCACACACCCTTACAAAGTTGTTCTCCTCATCAATCCATTCTCCATTTTTTGCAGAGAGAAAAACATGTAGAATTGCTCAACAGACCTGGTACCTTTCATAAGGATGTGAAATAATACATCTTTTTCATCATTATGGTGACTAAAATCCAGGTAGCCCATAGCTATAATGAAGTTCTTCAATTATACAGGTGAGTTGGTACTTAGAACAGGCTAAGCACTAGCATATATACCTCAGACTCTTCCAAGTATTGTCATATAGGTCCACCAGGGCCAGCAATAATTACAGTACTTGAAGAGATGGTCTATTATACATAAGCTGTATAATGCCCTGGATGGGATCCCACTCCCATAAAAATAAGTAAAAGTCTTGTCATGGCTATCAACAGAATTAAGATTGGACTGCATATATTATCTGTGTCTAGCTAGATCTTAGCACACAGTTAGGGCTGAAAAATGCCAGCCATTGGAAAAACATTACAGCTGCAGTGGTCTTAGGTTTTTACACTATAGCTTTCACTCTTGTAGAGTGTTCAGCATCACAAATGACAATGAGATGAGAGCATTCAAAACCAAGGTGGCGGGATGCCTTTGTTCATACAGCTATCACTACTGGAGAACCAACTTCGAATCTGTGACAGGTCATCAGAGGCAGCAAATTGTGTGCCTCCCCTAATCCTTTATAGAGAGCGTTACGCACTGCAAAACCACCAGAGAACCGGAGAGGTCGCTCATGAGGTCAAGCACTGGAATAGGAGTGCCTCTAAAAGCCAGGTTGGAGCTTGTAGGTATAATTTTGCAGGGAAGGCCATAAACAAAGGTTTTGAGAACCATCTCAATTTTCAACAGGATGCCAGTGTATTTACCTCACAGGAAATATCATCACCCCGCAGTACTAAATGCCTAACTTTGCTTCAAGAAAAAATAACTTCAGAGGTTCGATAAGAAGGCAGTTGTTAAAAGGAGAGAATGCATTATAATAAGGAACTTGTTATCTAATATATTGGACTAGAATTTTTCCAGTGTTTTCCTTCCTTGGCAAACATTACAAAATAACAATAAAAAAATCCTCAACAGAGCTTTTGTTAGCTTTACTGGTAGGAAAGTTGAAGTTTTCAACTAAATTTTTCTGCTTAGGGAACAAGCATATTTTTGAGAGTCCTGACCCACTGAAATTTTTTGCAAGTTAAAAGCCTATTTTTATGCCATCAATTCTCAAATAAAGATAATTTTCAGATGCTGTGAGTAATTGAAAGCAGATATTGTCATAGATCATTAACTTTAGAGATCTCTGTGCTTCAATTCCAGATAGGTCTTTCTCCGTATGAGAAGAGGAAGCAAGAAGACTAACTTAGTTCAGTTAAATACCATTAATCAGAAACTACTTTGTTTCTACAGTGTCGATGGCACACTTGTTTACATCACTGTAAATCCAGAGAAATTCTATTGAAGACAAGAGAGAAAAATGTAGGTTTGTAGCATCAGAGTTGATCCTAATGCCTTTATTTCTGCTCATTGAAAAGGAAGGGGTGTTAATTCTTTATAGGTTCAAGGAAAATGATTTGTCATTTCCCATGGAAATCTAGTAACAGAAACTGGTCTTTGACACTTTACCAATGCACCAGGTATTTTACAAGTGGCCAGCAAAAATGTATCAGAATAGCTACAAAGCCTGTCATCTGAAACGCATTAAATGAGAAAGAAGCATAGTGCATAAGGTTATTAGATCTGCTGCCTCTCTCCCACCCCAGTATAACAATGAACGGAAGTGTTACCCTCTGGATCTGATCCAGTTTCCACTAAAGTCAATGGAAAAATTCTCACCTTCCCCAGTGGAAGCTGGATCAGGCCTTGAGCAAAGAAAAGCCTGCAGATCTCAACCAGAGAGCACAGCAATCACACACATCAGTGGCGTGTTCTTGTAAATCCTGTGTACACATAAGATGCTGTATAATTTTGTAACTATTTTGTAAACAAAGCCTGTAATAAATTTGTTAAGGCCTAATTCTGTTTTCACTATAACCGGGGATGGTTTTATTGTCAACTTCAGTCACAGCACAATGAATTCAAAGTCCGTATCCAAACTTTTTTTATGTGTGTTAAGTAATTAAGCAAAATATTCATCTAGCAATGCTAGTTTAATTTAAGTATTCTAAAACCCACTCCCATTAGGCAGCTCAGATGCTCTGTCAATATTGTTTTGCCAACAGATCATTATAAACACACGTTTTATTTAGCTTTCTCCCAAACAACCGAATGCTATTCTGAAATTGCCTATGTCAAACTGTATTTTATCCATTTTTCCCTTAGTTTTTTTACAGTCCATTTAGTAACAGTAAAAAACGCTCCACTGAGGTTTTTGGGAAACCATCTGCATTTATTTTATCACCTTTGAACATGTGTTCAGGAATGAAGTCTGTGCAGCAAGTTTACTGCTACCAAGAGATTTGTGCGGCTGCACCAGGAAGAAACTTTGACTGGACTGTACAGTGTGTGTGCTCAAACCCACTCTGCTCACACTCTGTTATTTCGATGCTTTAGCAATCTGAGTCTTTTGCTTGGCTATACATTGTGTATCTGAAGACAATACCAAACAGGAAACAAGTCTGATTGGGAGTTCCAAAATTAAAAATTTAATGATAATGACCTGTTGTTTCTGACCTTTCAGAAAATACATTTGTACAACGGAGTAAAGCACATAACCAATCTTTTCATTTAATAGAAACATTGTGGCAAAGTCAGGGGGATTGTGTGCTCTCCACACTTGTTACTCGCATATATAATTCATCATAAATGTTGGGGGGGGGGGGGGGGAGGAGGGGGAGGAGCAGAAGAAGGAGGAGTAGAAGAGGATAACAGGCACTACAGCTTGTGTGTAGTAAAAGTCGGTGCTGTGAATTGGAGCTTTTTAAACTGTGGAGGGGTTGTTTTCTGAAAAACTTTGCCTGTATTTTGTTACAGCAGATGGCAGAATGACGAAGCAAGCACAGATGTAGTGTAAGAAAGTCAAGCAGTATAATGATAACAAAAATTTTCCTGGGAAAGTCAGCCATTCAGTACCACTGTAGGTCTGTGGAGTTCTCTGCAGGTTATTTCAGAACTCAGCAATGACATTCTTAGTTTAATTATTCAACTAAACTCTACGGCAAAAAAAAAATTATTTTTACCTGAAACTTATTATATTCACAATCTGGATAATTTTATTTATGGCTTTTTACTCACTAGCTGTTTTGGTACCTCTGATGAACAGCAAATGGTAATGCTTTCCATGAAAGTCCCCAAATATAGATTTCTCTGCTGTTTTACTGCTGAGCTTTGAAGCCAGCGGCACCTGAAAGCCACACATTCACTACGGAACTGGCCGTTTGATGTCATGACCTCACGCTTCCAGACATTTTGATCACAAGATCCTATTTTGGAGCCGTTAGCCACACATTTAGGTGAGATCATGGCCACGCTGCTCTAAATCATGCTTGAGAAGTGGCTATGAACACAGCAGCCAAGGAGGAAAAAGATTGAGGCAAACCTAAGCCATATTTATATTCAGCTTCACAAATCTGCTCTGCTTTCAGTCTTGAGCTGCAGGTTGCATGATAAAAGACTGCATAATTAAGGGTTGCTTCTTGAATGTCCAAGGGTTGAGATGCCAGGTAAACCATTAACAGGACAGTCCCATATGTTTTGCCTGCCCAGAAGTGTGCCTTATGTGAATCTGGATGGACCTTCTGTAAAACAGTGCTGTGACTGCTGGATGTCAGTTGTCTCCTTTCTCGAGCACAGCACGTTGTTAGTGTTTACGTGTGTCACAGGGAGAAGAGAGCATTGTTGATAAACCAGCTTCATCATTTGTAAATTACATTGAGACCATTTGGCAGAAAACACTAATCTGTCTAGAGGAGGATGTTAAGGAAGAAGGTAGAATGCTCCATTTCTCTAAGCAAAAATATTTCCATGGAAGGTGGGAGAAAATGCTGAAAAAAGACCCAGAGAGTCATAGGTGTTGGCTGGCAAACATCTTGCAGAGACTTAGGAAAGCAAGGGAGAGAGATTGTTCAACTGCAACCTGGGATGAAAGGCTTTTTCCTGCTCTGATAAGGATTAATAAAATACCATGAGATCATCTGAAATTCAAAAGGAAAATGAACCTCTATTAATTGGGGTCAATCCCACTGTGTTGATTGGGAATTAACTATGCTCACTGAGCACAGATGAAGTCTTGCTCTTGGTTAGCCCTCTGCAGCCTCTGTTGTCAGCATTTTGGACTATGAACCTGTTAAGTGAGGGCAGAATTTGGCCCAGAAGGTATTAAATCCAATTTAATGAATAAGGGAGAGCTTAAATTGAAAGCATTATTCACCACACGAAATAAGCCAAGATTTTAACATTAGCGTCATGAAAATTGCTCATT